ATTAAGACATCAAATGATCAATAAACGGACCACGATCAAATTGATCAATATCGGCCGTCTATTCAAACCACTCTCATCTTGATCTTGATCCTCCCCATATTTACAAGCTGTGCCACTCTAAAACATTATAAATATGCCCCCATTCTTCACATGAAGGGAGGAGTAATGGAGGAGAAGAATTAAGGGAAGAATTTGGGAGCTTGCTCATCCGTTGATCACCGCCAGAGTTCTTCCCAGCCACTGTCAGACTTCCACTTGTCCGCCGACCTCCCCATTTATTTACTATTAAAAAGTTATTAATTGACTATTAAAAAATTGATTATATTTGATCTTTTAAAAATGCTGGTTTCTCTATAATAATTTTATATTGATATTTACAGAAAATTACAGCCATTCCAACCTAACTCTAAGTCATAATAAAATCTGAAACAAGTTCAAGCAGCCACTAACTATGATCCATCTTGGACCATTTGCAGCTTAGGACTCTCTCACTAAAAAGTCAACTCAAAACACTTATTAGACCAGTCGTCAAAGAGTTGGCACTAATGCAATATTTAGTATTAAGATATTAAATGAGGTTGAGAGACTCATGAAGTATGACTACTTTGTAGCATTGATTCTAATCTCCTCCAATAAATAGGCCAGTGATCAATCACTTCCATACAAAACCTCTCTTTCTTAAATCAAATTTTGTTGACTTAGGTTTCATTTGGAACATAAAATTTTGTTGACTTAGGTTTCATATACTAAGTTAAGTGTTGCATATTAAGTTAAGTGTTGCAGAGATAAGGATGTTCAGGTGGATGAGTGGCTTTATTCTTAGAGATTGGATACGAAATGAGCATATACATGAAAAGGTTGGATTAGCTCCAGTGGAATATAAGATTAGAGAGAGTCATCTTAGATGGTTTGGTCACATAAAACAACGGCCTTCCGATGACCCGGTTAGGAAAGTTGAGGTATTAGATTTGACTTATGTTAAGAAAGGTAGAGATAGACCTAAAAAGACTTGGTTAGAAATTATTAGAAATGATCTTTGTTTATTAGAATTAAACGAGAATTTGACTTTTAACATGATACAATGGAGAAAAATGATTCATGTAGTTGAACACACATAGTGGGACAAAAGCTTGACGTTGTTGTTGTTGTTGTATGTTTCGTTTGGAACAGCTTCCTTATTGCTTTCTAAATCAAATGTTCAGTACAAAATTTTTTTATACTAGAAAATTTTCTACTATAAAACTGGTCTAGAAAGCGGTAAGGAAGTTGTACCCAACAAAATCTTAGTTCGATTCATCTTTCTTTATTCAATCCATTTTGAGCCAATTTTTAAACATTAATTATAAAAGACCTACTTTCTCTCTTTCTTCTTATTTCATTTCAACATTATATATTTCTCAACTATCTTCCATAAACAATTTTAGAGCCAAGTAGCCTACATCTACTATTTAATAAACAAATTTAGAGGATTATTAAAGTTTTAAAAAAAAGTCTTCTTTCTAAATTGATTACACTGAAGAGTATTGTAAATTTTCCCAACAATGAAGTGACATCTTACCTATCCATGAATTTTTATATGTTAATTAATGGGGTCTCTAATTAGAAAGAAGACTTTTTAATGCAAAGTGGCCATGATGCTATAACATAGAAGTTGAGGAGACGTCGTAAGCTTTATGTGAAGTTAGGTGAGGAGTTTGACCAACTGGCATACTTCAATGATTTTGGAGGCCATTACATGATATTATGCCTCCATAGATATCATGAAATGGTTCGTTGTTTTTTTGAATAGTCAAAAATTAGATTGCAGTTGAGGAAGATGACATAAGAAGAAACATATGTGGAATCATCCTGATAATGCGCCCAATTCTAGGGGTATCAATATTTGGCACGACACAAAAATCTGACTCAAATCTGATCCGAAAATTTTAAGTTAGACCCGACCGATTTCAAAATGGATTTGGTTAGGGTTAACATGGAAACCCATTTAAAACGAGCTGGCCGCGCTGTCCGAGCCCTCCTACACGTAACTACCGAGTTGCCCGCCCCTGTCGGGCTCGAGGCTGCCCACGCCCGAGCCTGTTAGAGTCATGTCCGAGCTGCCCGCCAGCGCCCGCGTCCATCCGTGCTCCAACCCGAGGCTGCCCACGACTGCTAGTCGGCGCTCGACGTTGCCTGTGCCCACCCGCATCGTGAAAGCCTCGGTGTCTAATAGATGTTGCTCTTTTATATTTTAGGATTGTTAAAGCCTTTACTTGCATTACAGTCAAAATGATGACATTTATATCAACATAATCATGTAAATATTTTTTTTACTAAATTGTAATTGACAGGAATTTGAATATTATAGAAAATTAAGAAGGTTATTTTGCTTGACATAGCATATCAATATCTACAACAAACCAGTACTAAATTTAGCTATGAGATATCCATTATGCTTGGCATTTTATTTTTTGATTCGAGTGAATAGCTTGTACAAATGAAACTATAAATATTGCAACAAAATTTAAAATAAGATGCATGGAGGGTAGGGAATCAAGCTATGAGTGAATAGCTTGTACAAATGAACCATAAATAATGCAACAAAAATCAAAATAAGATGCATGCAGGGTAGCGGATCAAGCTATAAGCTTTTTACGGGAAATATGATGTATAATATCCGTAAGGCCGAAGGTTAAGAACTCATGATAACACCTAAGAATAATTTTCCAACAATAATAACTACTTTTATTGATAACAATATGCATTTTAGAAAGGCGGACTATTTACTTAAAATATAATACAAATTAGTATTTATGAGATATTGAAAGATATTCTTCTTGTCCAATACTGATTGAGCATATAAGGAAATAATTATTACTATAGGAGTTAGGGGTACAAACGAGTCAAGCCGGCTCAGGCTCGACTCGTTAACAGGCTCGACTAGCCGAGCTTATCAAGCTCGCAAGTCGAGCTTGAACACCATTTCGAGCTCGAACAACCCTCTGCTCGGCTCGTGAGCTCATCGAGCAGCTCGTGACTGACACTGGTCGGCGGGAAAAAGAATTTGTGAGATCTTGCCGGCGGGAAAAAAATCGAGTAGCTTGAATGGACCGACTGACTGACATATGCTGCCGAAGAAGACGCAAACAAACGCAAACGTAGACGACGAAGACGGACGCTGGGAACTTCCTCTGACTCGAGCAAACGGGCCAACATGAATAGCTCGTGACTGGCGCTGGCGAAGAAGGAAGAGGCGAACGGACGAATTGTCCCTCGACGAGTGGCGATGGACTGACGGACGGACGTGATGCAGAGTGGCGACGGACTGGCGGACTTAGAGTTGCGACTTGCAACATACGCGACGGACGAACGCGTGGTGAGTGGCAACAGATGCGACGAACTTCAGTTCGTCGAGCCCTTTTTTCCCCTGTCGAGCTCGAGCTCGAACTCGATATTTGACAGTTAAGTTCGACTCGAACACGCCCTGACTCGACCTAATAGGAGTTAAAATTAAATTCATCAAGCATTTCCTATTCGAACCGAGGTCCTTATAGCAATAACCCAAATTTTGAAATTAATGCCTTTCAATAAGTCCTCTTAATAAAAATAAGCATTTTAGAAGGGCAGACTATTTCCTTAAAATACAATAGACCAAATTGAGTAATTATTAGAAATTGAAAGCCATGTTTGCTATCCAATATTTGGCGGAACATCTAAGAAAAGAGTATTAGGGCTATAATTAAATTCATCTAGCAATGCCCATTCCAACAATGGTCCCTAATTATGAGAATAAGAAGAGTTGAAAGATGAACTAGATCATGTTTTGATGGTCTAAAATTTGTAAATTTAGCATCGAGTTTCAATCTTTCTCTTTTTCTTCTTTCATGTTCTTTCTTATATCCGTTTATTTCCTTTTCATTCTCCTGAATTTCTCCCTTGTAACTCATCTCAAAAGGGCTGGGTGATTGATCCAGTTTGGTTAAGGTAAGCTCTTTACCAATTTAATTATGCTCTACTTGTTTCAATCTCCACGAATCAGCAAGTCTTCCTTCCATTAGAACTTCTAATCTCCACAAATCAGCAAGCCTCCCTGTCGTCATAAACTCTGCTAGGCCTTCCATAGCTTTGTCAGACTAGTTTACAACAGCCATAAATTTAAACTTAGTAGAGGTTGTCTAAAGGGTTAGTTTAGATGTCATGGTGCTAATCCTTCTTTCAAAGAGCAAACTTAAAATTTGGGCTGATCCCGATGTTTCTGATATAACATGCATTTTTGGAGCTCATTTGGTTGCTCATAGATAGAAAATATGTTTGAATTTTTATTTTTCATTGGTATGCAATTGTATTGCCATTAAAAGAGAAGGATAATACTAACTTAAGTTTTGTACAGATGAGGATTCTCAGGTGGATGAGTGATTTTACCTTAGAGATAGGATACTAAATCAGCATATACGTGAAAAGGTTGGAGTATCGCCAGTGGAAGATAAGATTAGAGAGAGTCGCCTTAGATGGTTTGGTCACATAAAATGACGGCCTTCTGATGACCTGGTTAGGAAAGTAGATGTATTAGATTTGACTTATGTTAAGAAAGGTAGAGGTAAACTTAAAAAGTCTTGGTTAGAAAAAATTAGAAATGATCTTTCTTTACTAAATTTAAACGAGAATTTGATTTTTAACATGACATAATGGAGAAAAAGGATTCATGTAGCCGACCCCACGTAGTGGGACAAAGGCTTGTTGTTGTTATTATTGTATTCGTATGAAATTGTATTACAATCTTAGGACTATTGAGAAGTTTAAAACTAATGATGATTTATAGATGGAGCTAGAAATTTCTTACTGTTTTTCAAAATATATTTTCTAACTTCAAACAACCAAATGGTACCATAAAAGGGATGAATCTTGAAAATTGAGATTGCCTATAATAAAATTAATGCAGAAATGTTTGTTAGATGCAAAGGATTCTTCATTTTACTTGAGAAAATTCATCTTATTCACACGCATGAACTACTGTGCTACAGGTGAGGCCCTATCCTCGCCGTTCCTTCACAGATGAAGAAAGCCAGTTATCTCTAAGCGAACTTGGCCTGACAAGCAAACAAGAAGCTTTGTTCCTGGAGCTAATATAATCCCTCTCTGCCATCTTTTGAATGATTATATTTATTTTCTTTTAGACCGAAAACTGTTTTCCAAATCCAATGTTCTGAAGATAGAAACGTCATATAGAGAAATTAGCTGATGCTTCCTCTGTGGAGGAAAAAAATGGCTGTTCTACCTCCACTTGATAGACTTTCACTGTGTTTTTTTCTTTTTTTCTTCTCTGTTTATTGTCATATTTGTGTGTTATAAGTTGGCTCTTTTGCTTCAGGAGATTTAAAAGAAACATAGAAAAGCTTCTCGCTCTGCTATTTCTTGTTCTGATCTGATTCTCGTTTTGTTATTTGTGTGATTGTTTGATGGGGATTGTGAGTTTTTTCTAGAATTTTTTTTTTTTTTAATTTGATGAGTGTGTTTGGATTTTTTTTTGATGTTTTATTTCTCAGATCATTATATTTTAATTTGATTTTTACTTTTTTACTGGCATTTAAAAACTTTTGTTATAAGAGGATATATTTTTCTGATAATAACTCTATTGTTGTTTTTACAAAAAAATTAGTAGTTGCATTAAACGAACCTTCAACAAAGCAAAACTTTTGTGCATTATTTGTTAAAATAATTTCTATTAAAATAAGCTATTAGAAATGTTTTAAGATAATTGCAAGATAAATTTCATTGATTGATTTTATATTATATTTATTTTGAAAAATTTAATGCCTATAAAATTTATTCTGAATAAATTTAAATTAAAAAGTCCTAGCTCAACTTGTTTTCATGATGAGTAAGTTTTTTTATTAAGGTTTTATTTGGGACAAATTTTTTTTATTGTTGTTTAAAATAATTTTTTGAATTAAAAATTTTTTAGTAGAAAGTTGATTTTTTTTTTGTTAAGGCTTTGTTTGGGGCGGCTTTATTACTGCTTCTTAAAACAATTTTTTAGTTAAAAAATTAAAAATTTTCTACTAAAAAGATGCTTTAAGAAGCAATAAAAAAGTCGTCCCAAATGAAGCCTAAGTCTAGAAAACTGATTTATAAAGCAGAAAGAAAGTTATCTCAAATGAAACTTAAATCTCAGTTGAGAGCTACTCCTTTGACTTAACACAGATTCAAGCTTTCTCTTTCTCTGGAGTAGAAACAGCATATTCCAAAAACTATTCTGTCTTATTATTGCTTTCACCTTCAGTCTAAGCAGTCATAAACCAAACAAAAACACAGAATAAAAGAGCAGAAACAAGACTCTAAACTTCTCATCCATTGTTCTCTTATTTTCCTCTGGTCCCTTCATCTCCCATGCACCTATAAACATAGAAACTAAAATTTTAGTCTCACCACCAACAAACGGTGAGAAAAAGTGAAAACTTAATCACTTACTGCATTTGAGCGGGGAGAGGCTACAAGTGCTGGTAAGTTTGGAGATTATGTCAAGTGCGTTGCAAAGGCAAGTAGGAGTTACTCCTTTGAGAGCATTGCATGGAGTTGGGGACGGCGAAGGTGGTATAGATCATGAGATTGCTCAAGTCGGTCGAGAAGTTTTGGGCACGACAGGTGGATCGATGGCGGTGAGGGATATGATTAGAAGAAGGCAAATTGAAAGAGTCTTCATTGTAGATGTTATGGAAGGTATTTAGTTATCAAATTTGCAGGTGAAATTATTTTGTGTGGATATGGGCGTCATCTAGAGGTGAATCAGAGCGCGCCACATCGCCCATTTGCTTTGTTCCACAGATGAGTACCAGGTGACGTGGCGAGCTTTGATTCGCCTCTGGACGATCCGGTGTCAACACAGAATAATTTCTCTATATTTAGAGGGTGTGGAGAGTGATTTCAAGTGACTTAACTAACTCGCTTGTGTTAAATGTGTGAATTAACAAAATTTTAATAATGATTTATGATTTTTTTTTTTGTTATAAGAATTTTAAAAACTATTCTTGTTTTCTAATACTTTATTTTATTATCTTCTATAAAATATCTTATATTTTGAAGAAATATCATAGTTCTAATTACTTGGAAGATGAAGAGCCATAAAATATAATATGAATTTATTGTTTTAAATAAGTAGCATATGAACTTACACTCAAATAGCTAATATTTTTATGAAATACAATTCCTCCTTTCATATTTTCTCACTAATTATAAAAAATATGCATAAATTTATCTCTCTTTTTTTTAACAAAACCTAATTTATATAAAAATCATTTATATTCATTATTTAAGTAATAAAATTTTTTGATATGTTTTTCTATTTTTATTTTCATTTTCTTACATTCATCACCATTACCCATTGCTCAATATTATTATTAAATTTTAAAATATGAATTTGTGTTAAATATTAAATTTAATATTTACCGTACAATATAATATTTTATAAAGTACAACATTTATTCATCATAATATTTTCAAGTACCAAAATTAATTTGGATCAAACTTGCAAGTAAATCTATCCATATTTAATAATTTTTTATAATAATTTTAATATTATTTGATTTAACTTTATTTAAATAATATTATTAGTCATTTGACTTATCATTATGCACTAAAACAAACTTATAAAAATTAAAGTTGATTTTTGTACTTTTTATCAAATAAAAGGGAAAGTTATAGAAGAAAAAAAAAACAAATTTTATAACTTATAAACTGCTTATTTTTAAATATTAATTCTTCTGCCATTTTTAAATATTTAAATAAAATTACAAACATGCCAATATAAGATGCTAATTATAAAGGTGTACTAAATTTACAAATAATACTAAATTTTAAAATAGTAATTTAAATATGTTTTAGGGCAAAAGTATTAAATCAAGAAGTTGAAGAGAATCCCAATTGATAAAAATATGAGGGAATGGACATGAGAAGATCTATTGAACGTAGTTCCTAGGCAATTCTTAACACTTCAGGTCGTCCACCTCGAATATTGATAAAGAATTTGACCTGCAATTTGAGTAAAATATTAAAATGCCTGAGAAGATTTAAACTTTTTATACAAATATTTATATTTTTATCCAATAATTTAAATAACACTTAATGGATTACACCAATTTTTATTAAAATCTATAAATTTAATTATGCTTAATAATTAAGTCAAATTGAGTACATCTATCAAATTATACAAACTGTTTAATGCTGACATTACATTCTTCACATTTCATATATATCAAACAAATAAGATAAGAAGAAAGATGTTTGCTTATAAGGTCCAAATATAGAAATAAGGAATGTGAGCAATTTTGTGCCGATCGGAGCCTCCATCCTCTCGATAGCGCTCCTTTAACTCTGGATGACATTCCCCCCAAATTCGTAGAGTTATCAAAGAGGGAGGAAGGTTCGGTAATTCCCGAAGCATAGGAACATTAGAAATAGATAGTTTCTCAAGTGAAGATAAGCTTTCCAGAAGTGAAACCACCTCATTTGGAAATGAAACCAACTCATCATTACCCCAAATAGACAGCTCCTTTAAGGAGGCGATACTTCTCAATGGCTCAATTAGCAACACCGATGGATCACTTATACCGAGATAGCTGAGCATGAGATGGCAATTATTAGTGCTCTCCACTTCTCGATATCTTCCCAGAGAGATCAGATTGGGGCACTTTATAATTCTCAAGTATCTTAGTGCTGCAAGTCTTGCTATTTCATCAGCCAGAGGAAGAGATGTAATGTTAGGACAGCGAGAGACCTTTAATGTTTGAAGGGGAATAGGATTTGAATTGCTACAAAAATTCAAAGTCGTCCACCCAATGTTTTCGATCCACAAGCTCTTGAGCTTAGGAGGCAAAGAGGGCAACTCTTTCAACTTCGAGCAGTTATCTAGTTCCAGGTGAATTAAGCAAGGAAAGAAACATCCATCTTCAGCAGCTACTCCTGCCTCAAACCAATCCTCCAATGCTTCTAATCTGTAAATTTGTAACACCTCTAGCAATGGAAAGGCACGGTATTTATCATTCCCATTAAATTTACTTTCCAGCCATTTTACTTTCGGCATGTTAGAAAGTGTCAGTGACTTGAGGAAGGGAAGTTGCCCGAAAGGAGGAAGAGTTTCCCACTCCAAGCAATCTTTCAATGAGATTGTCAAGGATCTTAGTGCTGCAAGTCTTGTTATTTCATCAGCCGGAGGAAGAGATGTAATGTTTGGACAGTCAAACACCTCTAATGATTGAAGGGGAATAGGATTTGAATTGCTACAAAAATCTAAAGTCGTCAACGCAATATTGTCATTTATTTTAAAGCTCTTGAGCTTAGGAGGAAAAGAGGGCAACTCTTTCAACTTCGGGCAGACAAATAGCTCCAGTTCAATTAAGCAAGGAAACAAACATCCATCTTCAGCAGCTACTCCTGCCTCAAACCAATCCTCTAATGCTTTTAATCTCTGAATACGTAAAACCTCTAGCACTGGAAAGGCATAGTATTTATCATTCCCATTAAATTTACTTTCGAGCCATTTTACTTTCGGCATCCTATAAAGTTCCAGTGACTTGAGGAAGGGAAGTTGCCCAAAAGGTGGAAGAGTTTCACACTCCAAGCAATCCATCAATACAATTTTCTCTATATTGAAGATCGGATTGACATTGTTCATCCATATTGCAGACCTTGCACCCATGTATCTCTTTATGCTCAGATTCCTTAGACATTTTGGTGGCTGAAGGTTGTCCAGCACGTTCTCATCTAAATCGATGTTCCTCGAATCACTGTTACTCCACCGTAAAGTTAGATCTGTGAGCCTCCTCTTGGCATATAATTTGGCACTACAAGCCTCTTCAGCATCCTTAACATTTTCAAGGCAATTGATTCCTAATTTGCAAAGTTCATTCATATTCTCCAGCTCTCCAATTCTATAACCACTCGCATCTCTAAGATCAAACATATTCAGTTCTTGAAGAAATTTTAGCTTCCCAATCCCACATATCGATGTACTACAATTACCTGGCAATTTCACATAACACAAATTAGAAAGGTTATTAATGCAACTTGGTAAAAAATCATCAACTTTAGGTGGCCTTGGCTCACATGAGCTACCATAGATTATGTATTGCAAGTGATAGAGATTACTTAGAAATCTTGGGAGCATAGTAAACTTCTCACCTCGAATATTCAAATATCGAAGATGTATCAAATTTCCAATCTCCTCCGGTATCATTTTTAAGCCTGTTGAAGAATGTATGTATAATAAACGTAGGCTTCTCCATGTTTTGAATATTTCAATAAGTACGCTGATATCCTGATTAGAAGCTTCATCGAATAAGAAAAGAGAATGCAAATATTTAAACTGCCCAATCTTTTTTATGATGTCTGGATTTATAGTTTGAACAGACAAGTGTCGAAGAGTCTTAGGAATTATAGAGGGCAGCTTCATACCATCCTCAACTCTTAAACATTCATACATGGAAACTGATTGTGCCAATTCATGTATTAAATCATGCATCTTGTAGCATTGTTCAAAATCCTGAAACTTATCAAATAAAGATTTTTTAACCAAAACATCAAAATACATTCCTCCAATATCCTCCATAGTCCATTCTTGATCATGAGGTTGCTGAATGAAACCCAATGCAATCCACATTTTTACTAAATCATCTTTATCAAACACGTAATCTTGGTTGAATATAGAACAAAATGCGAAACAATTTTGTAGATGTTTTGGGAGGAACATATAGCTCAATCTTAAAATGAGAAAGATGTCATTCTGACCCAATTTTGAACTTACAAAATCACTATTTAAAACTTTTGTCCAATGTCTTTCATCCAAGTTAGAATTCAAAACACCACCGATAACTTTTGCAGCCAATGGAGATCCTGAAAGCTTTTTAACTATCTCTCCAGCAATGGATCTTAATCTTTTATAATCATTAGGATTCTCCACATCAGCAAATGCATGAGAGTTGAGGAGCTGCAAACACTGATCTTCCTCCAAGCCCTTTAATCTAAATATTTCCGTCTTCTTTTTTATGACCTTTGCAATCATCATTGCAACCGAGTCCATTCGAGTTGTTATCAAAATTCCACTACCAATTTTCCCATAAGCTAGAGGGGCGAACACCTTCTCCCATTTGCTGATATCCTGCTTCTTCTCGTCCTCCTCCCAAATGTCATCCAGAATAAGTAAGAACTTTTTGGACATAATCTCAGTCCTAAGACTATTTTGAAGTTCATCAAGTGATTCGTCCAAACGAGGCCTCTCCTTCTTAAGAGTTGATAGCATATCTGCAATGACTTTTTTCACATCGAAGTTGTTGGAAACACAAACCCACATTTTCAGATCAAAAAATTCCTTCGTCATTTCATCTTCATAGACGTGTTGCAATAGAGTTGTTTTCCCCATACCACCATGGCCCACTATAGATAGAAGAGAAATGTTTCCGTCCCGATGCTCATTTGATAGCTTCTTCAACCACTGCACAACAGATTCCTTATCCTTGCCCCGCCCAATGAGATCATTTGTAGTTGTCAAGGATCCTGTTTCACGTGCTTTGAAGAAATCAACCTCCTGCTCCTTTTGTTCCTGCTTTGCGCTGTCTAAAAGATGAAGGAAAGTAGTAACATCAGCCGAAACTTTATCAAGTTTCTGTACAGCATCCTCCAGTCGCTTCAAGTTGGGATCTCTTTTGATAACACGCTCGCCAATTTTGAGAATTTTACGAGGAATTTCAAATAGGAAGCTCGTGAACTTTCTTTTCTGATCATATTAGTTAGAAATAGATTATCAAATAAATAAATATATTCGCGAGCAGAATCAAATAGGAAGCACGCGGTGGCGGAACGCACCTTTGTTTCTTCCGTGTTTTTGGTGAGCTGTTCTTTATGCTTGATGTACTCCAACTCATCGAGCACATCCTCTGCCTCATCAATAGCATCTCGCAGCTGCCATATCCATTTGTTTATAGGGTGGTTCTGATCGCTAATTTGTGCTTCGTTAGCGGCAAAGACGACAGCTTGGATCTTCGGGTGATTCTGTCGCAGCCTTTCAAGCTCCTCCTTCATGCCTGTCTGCCATCTGAATTGATCTTTAAGGTAATCTTTACTGTAATCTTCAAAGTAATCAGAGCAAGTGTTGATGATCTTTTCCATGATTGGACCAACAAACCATTCCGCCATGGCATAGATGATCAAGGTAGAGAGAGAAGAACAACTGAACTGTAAGAGAAACAGAGATTGATTGGAAGAGATAAAGATTAGATGAAGCTGCAATCACTTTCCTTTCTTTATTAGATAGAAAATAAATTATGTAACAATTTATTTATGATGCTCATAAATAAAAAAAAATTATAGCATAAACATACATAATATGTTTTTTATTTATTAACAAAATGAAATAATAATTAACACCCATTCTAAAATGTTCAAGGGACAAAGGGCCAGCTCGCCCCAACTTTATAAAAGAAAAAGTGTGTGTTGACTATTGAGGGCTGCAGCACTTAAAGCAATAATAGTTAACAGAGATATAGTGAGTGGGCTTCCTTTAGAAAAAGTAAATAAATAAAAAGAATGGGAGTTGCCATCCCTTTAGTTCCTGCAGCCATTAGCTTAAATAAATATATATATTCTCTTCATAATTATACACGCACTTTCTTTCTTTTTTGGACATTTAATTTATTGGTTTAAAAATTCAGGCCCGACCTCTTTGTTGGCACGCTTTCTTCTTTTCAAGTCATCAAAAAAAGTTTGAACGCTTATGTTTCAAGGTAAATTTTTAGAAGGTAAATTGAGTTTTAAATAAGATACTACCAAGAGATTTTATCCCCATTTTACGAGAACTTTTTGATTTGAGTTCTTATTTCCTATAGGCACAAGCCCCTATAGTTGATTACCCCTCTCGATAACAAGGGAGAACTTTTGATTAAGGCTAGTCGTCAAATGGTGCACATGAAGGGGTTGTTTGGCTACAAGTAGGATTTAACTCAAGTAGTATTTGATAATTCTTATAAATTTAGATTTAGTAAAATTTTGATAGGATTTATGTGAACTAAACTCTTAAATACTGAGGCATCAGTTTTTCGTGTGATTGTTAAAATTTTATTATAAACTCTAAAAGTTAAATGTGATCGTATGGGAGCACTCCTTGGATGGATGGCCTTTTAGGTAGTTGCACTAAGGCCTCGTTTGGGACGACTTTCTTACTGTTTCTTAAAGCAGCTTTCTAGTAAAAAAAAATTTGTACTAAAAAGATACTCTAAGAAAAAGTAAAAAATTTGTACTAGTTTCAATTTAATAATTAAGTCAATAAATTCAAAAATTAGTTGATTAGCTTGTGCAACTAACAACAACAATCTAGTGGATTAATATTCAAAGATCTACTGTTGCAATTTCAAACTCAAAAGCATAAAATCAAAATTAAATATAATTATTTCATTTTAAAAAATAAATAAGAAATTAAAAAGAACTATTTAGATTTCAGTTGTAAATAATCCACCACATATGTAACGAAATGTTAAAAAAAGAGGATATATTTACATATATAGGGATCATCAAGGAATACATAAATAAAATTGAGTACATCGACCAAATTATACAAATGTTTGATGCTGACATTGCATTCTTCACATTTCATATATATCAAACAAATAAGATAAGAAGAAAGAAGTTTGGAGCTTACGTATTTTGAAACTTTCATTAAAGTAGTCGGACCTATTAACAAATAGAGATATTGGGAATGTGAGCAATCTTGTGGCGATCGGAGCCTCCATCCTTTCGATAGCGCTCCTTTAACTCTGGATGACATCCCTCAATTATTAGTTTAATCAAAGAGGGAGGAAGGTTCGGTAATTCCCGAAGCATAGGAACGTTCCCAGTTTGTAGAACCTGAAGTGAAGATAAGCTTTCCAAGGAGGAAGGAAGAGACTCTAAGGATTTCAACCTAAAAAATTTCAGCTCAGAAAGAGAAGACCTAACATTCAGAAACCACTGCTCCGCCTCATTTGGAAATGAAACCACCTCATCATTATCCGAAATAGACAGCTTTTTTAAGGAGGCGATACTTCTCAATGGCTCCATTAGCAACACCGATGGATCACTTATATAGAGTTCGCTGAGCATGAGATGGCAATTATTAGTGGTCTCCACTTGTCGATATCTTCCGAGAGAGATCAGATTGGGGCACTTTACAATTAACAATTCTCTTAGTGCTGCAAGTCTTGCTATTTCATCAGCCAGAGGAAGATATGTAATGTTTGGACAGTGCAGGACCCATAATGTTTCAAGGGGAATAGGATTTGAATTGCTACAAAAATTCAAAGTCGTCCACCCAGTGCTTTGTATCTGCAAGATCTTGAGCACAGAAGGCAAAGAGGGCAACTCTTTCAACTTCGGGCAGTTACGTACCTTCAGTTGAATTAAGCAAGGAAACAAACATCCATCTTCAGCAGCTACTCCTGCCTCAAACCAATCCTCCAATACTTCTAAATCGTAAATACATAACACCTCTAGCAATGGAAAGGCATGGTATTTAGCATTCCCATTAAATTTACTTTCGAGCCATTTTACTTTCGGCATGTTTTCAAGTTCCAGTGACTTGAGGAAGGGAAGTTGCCCGAAAGGAGGAAGAGTTTCCCACTCCAAGCAATCTGACAAGTTAATTTTCTCTAAATTGGATATACCGTTGACATTGTTCATCCATATCGCAGACCTTGCACCCATGTATCTCTCTATCCTCAAATTCCTTAGACATTTTGGTGGCTGAAGGTTGTCGAGCACATTCTCATCTAAATCAATGTTCCTCGAATCAGTGTTACTCCACCGTAAAGTTAGATCTGTGAGCCTCCTCTTGGCACATAATTTGGCACTACAAGCCTCTTCAGCATCGTTAACATTTTCAAGGCAATTGATTCCTAATTTGCAAAGTTCATTCATATTCTCCATCTCTCCAATTCTATAACCACTCGCATCTCTAAGATCAAACATATTCAGTTCTTGAAGAGATTTTAACTTTCCAATCCCACATAATGATGAACTACAAATACCTGGCAATTTCACATAACACAAGTTAGAAAGGTTATTAATGCAACTTAGTAAAAAATCATCAACTTTAGATGGCCTTGGCTCACATGAGCTACCATAGATTATGTATTGCAATTGATAGAGATTACTTAGAAATCTTGGGAGCATAGTAAACTTCTCACCTCGAATATTAAAATATTTAAGATGTATCAAATTTCCGATCTCCTGAATAGGTATTATTTTCAAGCCTTTTGGAGCCCATATGAATAATAAGCGTAGGCTTCTCAATGCTTTGAATATTTCAATAAGTGCACTGCAGAGATCCTGATTAGAAGCTTCAATGAACAAGAAAAGAGAACGCAAATATTTAAACTGCCCAATCTTTTTTATGATATCTGGATTTGTAGTTTTAACAAACAAATGTCGAAGAGTCTTAGGAATTATAGAAGGCAACTTTATACCATCCTCAACTCTTAAACATTCATGCATGGAAACTGATTGTGCCAATTCATGTATTAAATCATGCATCTTGTAGTAGTATTGTCCTATTGGATCCTCAAACTTATCAAAGAAAGATTTTTTAACCAAAACATCAAAGTACATTCCTCCAACATCCTCCATAGTGCATTCTTGATCATGAGGTTGCTGAATGAAACCCAACACAATCCACATTTGGACTAAATGATCTTTATTAAACCCATAATCTTGATGAAATATGGAACAAAATGCAAAACAATTTTGTAGATATTTTGGGAGGAACATATAGCTCAATCTTAAAATGAGAAAGATGTCATCCTCGCCCAATTTTGAACTTACAAAATCACTATTTAAAACTTTTGTCCAATGTCTTTCATCCAAGCTAGAATTCAAAACACCACCGATGACCTTTGCAGCCAAAGGAGACCCAGAAAGCTTTTTAACTATCTCTCCAGAAATGGATCTTAATCTTTCATTAGGATTCGCTACATCAGCAAATGCATGAGAGTTGAGTAGCTGCAAACACTGATCTTCCTCCAAGCCCCGTAATTGAAATCTTTCCTTCTCCTGTTTAATGACCTTTGCAATCATAGTTGCAACTGAGTCCATTCGAGTTGTTACCAAAATTCGACTACCAATTTCCCCATAAGCCAGAGGGGCCAATACCTTCTCCCATTTTCTGATATCCTGGTTCTCCTCCTCCTCCCAAATGTCATCCAGCACTAGTAAGAACTTTTTGGACATAATCTCAGTACGAAAACTATCTTGAAGTGCCTCAAGTGTCTCCAAACTAGGCCTCACCTTCTTAAGAGATTCCAACATATCTGCAATGACTTTTTTCACATCAAAGTTGTTGGAAACGCAAACCCACAGTTTCAGATCAAAAAATTCCTTCCTCATTTCTTCTTCATAGACATATTGCAAGAGAGTTGTCTTTCCCATACCACCATGGCCCACTATAGATAGAAGAGAAATGTTTCTGTACAAATCAGTTCCCCGATGCTCATTTGATGGCTTCCTCAACCACTGCATAACAAACTCCTTAGCTTCGCCTCTACCGATGAGATCATTTGTAGTAGGCAAGGATCCTGTTTCGCGTGCTTTGTAGAAATCAACCTCCTGCTCCTTCTGTTCCTGCTTGGCGCTGTCTAAAAGATTAAGGAAAGTAGTAACATCAGCCGAAACTTTATCAAGTTTCTGCACAGCCTTGACCAGTCGCTTCAAGTTGGGATCCCTTTTGAGAGCACGTTTGCCAAATTTGGCAAGTTTTTTCTTCATGGATTTCAACTGTTTTTCAAGTAGGAATTTCAAATAGGAAGCTGATGAGCTTTCTTTTCCGATAAATTATCAAATAAAAAAATAAATATATTCGCGAGCAGAATCAAGTGGCGGAACACACCTTTGTTTCTTCCGAGTTTTTGGGGAGCTGTTCTTTATGCTTCATGTAGTCAAACTCATCGAGCACATCATTTGCCTCATCAATAGCATCTCGCAGCTGCCATATCCATTTGTTCAGAGCCCTGTTTTTATCGCTAATTTGTGCTTGGTTAGCAGCAAAGACGACAGCTTGGATCTTGGGGTGGTTTTGTCGCAGGCTTTCAAGCTCCTTCTTCATGCCCGTCTGCCATCCGACTTGCTCTTCCAGGTAATCAAAGCAAGCGTTGATGATCTTCTCCATGATTGGACCAACAAACCATTCCGCCGCCATGGCACCGATGATCGAGGTAGTGAGAGCAGAACAACTGAACGGTAGGAGAAACGGAGATTGA